TAGCGTCGTCATAGAATAGAGCAAGAAATTTTAGCACGTTTCTCCAATGAAAAAATGGTAAATACATACGGTTCTCTTATATAGTACTGTACTAAAATTACATATTTTTCAGGAATTTTATCGTATCGGTAAAGAAGTCATCTTTTAAGTCGCACTGATAAAAATTGTACGCGATTGGAGTCGTCATTACCTTACAATAACGCCCTACGACTACTTAAAAACCGGCCATCATTCATGAGGTATATATCGCTTTACAAGTTGAAATTCGATTGTAACCGTACTGGTAAGACGCGGATAAGACGCTGTGAGAACTATGACGTTGCGAGTGACGTCATTAAAACGATCACGTGACGGCATATTTAGCCGTACGGACAGCACTTATATAAATGCTAGTGACGGCGAAATCTGCGTGATATCCTTTAACTATAGGAATATTGCAACGTGCGGTACCGCGTTTTCCTAAATACCCATTCGTCTCGCACCTCTTGGTACGGTGATATACACCTATTCTCGGGCGGTCTAAAATCCATAAACGACAAAAAGTGCAATTAGTGAGTCGTTTTACGCCTTACCTTCACAACAATTTAAACCATGAAAACCGTTTTTTTGTCGCAGATAGCTCAGACTGCGTTTTCCTGGTACTGTGTGTTCAGCGGTTGTTTTCCTAACTTTCGACTTCTGTACTGTTCATCTCACCTTACTTATTGTTATATTCAATTTTTCCGGAATGCTACATGACCTGATTCTGAACGCTCTATTCGTCGTACCATACAGTGAATAGAACCTTTCCTCATACTTCGTATTGTGTCTTTTGTACTTACGGTTACTTGACTAGCTCACGATTATTCCCGCGACCAGATTCAAGGATGCTATAGCTCTCATGCTACTATATAAAACAAAAGATGTACCTAGGTACATATGTTTCATGATGTGGTTTTGTTTTATAAAGGAATACGATAGCTTTGGAATCCTGAAATCTGATAGCAGTAAGTCTCGAGCCAGGCATTTGTGACCAAACTGCAAAGGACTCAATACGCAGTATAAGAAAAGAGCGGAAACCATGCGAAACAAACATAAAAACAAAAACATTTTCAAAGGGTTATTTATTGGATACTTTACATTATATGTATGTTAATATTTAATATCATCTATATATCTAGATATACTATATGATTATGTATAACTCAAAAGTAGTAAACATTTATTATTGTAGCATTACCTTTTTGACATTTTGAACTATTGAGAGAAATACGTTTATTACTAAATTGTTAATGAACTTCGGAACTACAGAAAGGTTTATATTATATAATAATAAGATAAATAGATTAGAATTAGTAAATTAATATATTTTCCAAATTGGCTTCTGGACATTCACCTTTGTGCAATTTTAATTAAATTACAAAATAAAAATCTATGATAATGGTTAATTTGCTTTTTGTTGAAGCCGATAAACAATAGTAGATAAACTAGTTAAAAATAGAAAGATAAAATGTTTGCATTGTCACCGCTTTATAATATATAAAAAAAACTGACTTGTGTGAAATTGTGACTGATATAATAAAACTGTACGTGTATATTGTTAAGGAACCCCCAATAAACAGGTGATAATACTTAGGATTATGGTATTATTAGTTAAAAATTAGGAGAAACATTTACAGACGGTAACGCTAATCGATTCCCCATCTTAGGGTTATAAAAAGTTTGCAGTCCCTAGAAACAGTAATTGTGTTTGGGTAAGGAGCAAGCAAATCTTCGAGGGGCAAATACGTATATTTTTCAGTTCGACTCACTTCAAATGCGTAGTAATGGTCGTCAAAGGTAATTGTCTCATAAAGAAAGCATGAGAAATATACTTTAGAGTTTTCAGTTAGCAGAATTTTGTCAATGATTGCAAAGACTGGTTGAAGGGCCTCCTCAGATATGTCAACAGTAATGATTCCACAGGGTTTCCATAAAACACCACACATTTTTACCCAGGAAACCGAATGCGTAAAGTTCACTTCTGGATTTGCTCTATAACTATGCTCATTTTCCAGGCGGACTTTCTTACCAAACTGCAACTTTGCAGGCAAGGATTTCTTTAGAAACAACTCATTGAGAATAAGTTGATTTTTCATTGCCAGAGTTTTGCAAACATTTCTCCTGTTACATGAAGCCCTTGCTGCCATTTTGGAAACCCTGTGCTTTGCTTCGAATCTCATTGTCCAGACATGACGCAATGGTCCAAATTTTAGGAGCATGTCAGGATAATGAGTTAGAAAATGGAATTTGGGCTTCAGTGTTTCACCAGAAACCTGGCGATACAATGCGTTGAAATCTCGAATCAAATATTTTAACTGTTCCACCGTATCACTATATACCCTGTGATTAAGCAGTCTCTCCAATATTTTTCTCAAAGCAAGATATAACTCCCAAGTTTCATCACCGACAGGAACATAATAACCGGCAATAAGGCCAAAGTACCTCATCAAGGTTAACATTTCAATTGCCGAGGTTTTAATCCTCACGGAGTTAGCAGCTTCCAAAATTATACAAGAAGTAGGCTTTGACCCTGAATCCGGACCGTAATCGAAAGAAACTAATTTGCTTATAAGGGTGTTATAATGAGGCATAGATCTCGAAATTAAATTATTTATAACATAAGTCATAACATATCGAGCAGTTCCTTCAAGAATATCGTGCATAACATCAACCGCAGTATGTTCAAAGGGATCGAAACCATTTAGCTCAAGCCAACAACATGATTCCTTTATGCCAGTTTTGGATACATCCTTCATCTCAAGCTGCTGAAGGTATGAATTCATGTCCCTCATCAGTTCATTGTTTTGGATAGTCATACTTTGCATGCATTTTTTTGGAGCATTGCAAATCCTACAATAGTGATTAGCGACGAAGCTTTCAGTGAAACCAAGTATAGAGTTAAGTCCTAAATTATCGCCAGTTAAGCAGACTACCTTAAACTTTATGACCCCCGTGAAAAATTCTGTGGTAATGGTAATACCTGTAGTGTGCAAATAATTAAGTTCATCAATGGCTGGTTGGAACACTTTTTTGTTTTTAAATTGGGTCTTGTCGGAAGAATGACATAGAGATAACATAAAAGTGTGGTTTAGCTGAGAAACGATATGTGGAGGAAGTGCAGGTATAGAAACATATAGACCCCCTAATTTATGAATGCCCGCATGGCTCCCTAGTACATTGGATATTTCAAAATCGTCGTAGAAAATAACGAGCGGCAGAACAACAGTCAGTGGATCATTACTTAAAAAAGGTGATTTATATAGGTTCAGCCAAGCAGAGCCATGCATAACATTTTCCAGGCATTGGTTCGGCTCTTGGGTGTCGTATCTTCTTTCCTCGTTCTTCTCTCCACCCCATGTTGCCCCTCCACCTAACTCTTTTAGGTATTCGACAGTCTCTTTCAAAACAGTACCAATAGAAAAAAACTTAAGCAATACATTTCTCAAGGGAATCAACTCCATTGTGCATGTCCGAGGAGTTATAATTAACCTATTGTGTTTCATTAGTGTTTCTCTACGATAGCCCAGTACTACTTCCATTGGTGAAATGTAAGTTCCTAAAGATGCGAAGAGCTGAAACCTTTTATATTCTGACCGTAGGGGTTCCAAGCAGTCATCAAGTAAAATTAAAGTCTCCTTCAAAGCTGACTGGACTTCATCAAAAGTGCTTCCTTCTTTCACCAAAGAAAGGAATTTGACTTGAAGATCTTCAGAAAGTTGTTGGTGAAATGATTGCATACCGTTCACAACAACCTGCACAGTGGAACGAGGAATGGCAGGGTTACTATACAATGACGCAAGGAACTGAGAAGTAATTGCAAGGAGTTGCTCCGACAGATCCACATTTCTCATGGAATGTTCATAAGCTACAATATTAAATCTGAGGGGCTCTAGAACTCCGTCATTGACATTATCGTATTTAACATTATCACCAGCAGAAGAAGGTCCTGGCTGTGGAGTTGATCTATGATTTGAATTTATTTCTACATTTATATCTGCAGTAACATTCTCATGCTTTGATTTCAAGTGACGACGGAAGGCATCCAAAGATGTGAACTGCCTGAAGCAGCCAGATTCACCACATTTGTATGCCAGCCATTTACGAAAATGAGTGAAACAATTTTTCCTTATGTGAAGGAGAAGGTCCTTCACCAAGGGGAATCGTTTCTTGCAAGAATGACAAGTTAACATCTTTCCTTCAAGCCGAGATCAACAAATAAAGTTTTCACTGCTGCAGTTGGTCTATCGTATGAAGTCGATATGCGATAAAAGCCTTTTTGAATAAAAAGCCAAACGTCATAAGCTAAAGGGGGATATTCTGCAGCAGTGGCATGTATAATTTTAAATGTATTATCAACCGCTGAAATTAGGGAATCAAATTTGTACCGTACCCGTTCCACTATTACAAGGCACTCAACTAGTGATGAGAGTGACTCGCCTACTACGACAACCAGTGGTTGAAAAGTTAAATTCCAGGACTCTAGTTGACGTCGCTTATCTTCAAGCGTAGCGTCGAGGTCTGCGATGTTCGAGACGTGAAGAATGCTCACTTTTATCCCCTTCTTCTTGGTTGTTGTCCCCGTATTAAAGATGTAGGGGAGACCGGGGACAATTGTAACAATTTTTAAATAATCAAGTTCCATTTTGTAGGTGTTCATGAAAATTATCTGAACTCTTGGTGGTGCATTAGGACATGTTTCCTTTATGTGTCGGCGAAGTAGGGGCTATATTTGGATAATCTGTTAAAAAAAATGATATTGTATCTATATAGCTGTCACATGTTACATTTGTACCGCGTCTGGGGACAAATGTAACGAACCTGGGGACAATTGTGACAACTTAATTTACGTTGAAATAAAACCCATCGAATTACTTTTCGTTTTTAATTTTTGAAATAACATAAATGCATTTCTGTAATTTAACAAAAAAATAACAATAAAGTAATTAAAATTCTCAAACACTTAGGTAAATAGGTAGATATTAATCTCTGCAGTTGATGCAGTAGAAGAAAAAGCTATCCTCTTCATCTCTACAGTCCGAATGGCACCAGCTCTTGCAGGACTGACACTGTATCCACTCCTCACCACGCTTGTCATTGGAGTAGGGCTTTAGGCAATACAGACATACTGCGTCGTCCTCATCCGATGAACTAGAAACTACACTTTTTTTCTTATACACCTTTCTCTTTACTTTCTCAGCGTTCTTTTTTCGAAGTTTGGATGCCTCTTCCTCAAGTGCCATCTTCTCAGGTGTTTCAGTTAGTATTGCCGTTGATCTCTTTTTCCTTATAACTTTTTTCTTGAGATTTAATGGAACCTTTGGAAAGGGCCGAATTGTTTCCAATAATTCTTTGGAATTGTTTAATGCGTCTATTTGGTGAGTATCTATTTTCGTTGGTGTTTTATTGCCAATGATGTGATCAGATTCTCGTGATGTTGATGGAATAGGGTCAGTTTGAACTAATTGGGGGATCTCTGCTGCGTTGTATAGGTTGGTGGTTAAAGGGGTGTCAGTCGGTAGAGAGGGTGAAAACTCGTAGTCTTGAAACACATCTCTATTAAAAGGAAATATTCCCGACACTTTGAATCCACTAAGGATGTTAGTTGGCGTAGTAGCTTTTGGTAATGCTTCGGCGACAAGTCCTGGTAAGTCATATATCCCCATGGTCTGTCCGGGATGATTTTTCATCCAAGCGTCCATAGCACTGTTCATATATGTTTTTAGTGGACCATATACACTTCGATCTAAGGGCTGTAATTTATGCGAAGTGTGAGGCGGAAATGACAGAAGAACGATTCCGTTGTCTCTGCAGAAGTCGATAGTTTTTAGCCCTAAATGTGATCTATGATTGTCGAGAAGCAGGAGGATTTTATTTTCTTGTGAAGGTTTACTATATTTGGCAAAATGTTTTATATAGGTGAAGAATGTGTCTGTGTCCATCCAGCCAGAACCATTGGCTTCTCCGATTGAACCAGTTGGAGCCCCGGTCATGAAAAATGGTTTGAATCTCTTCCTAGGGAATATAAACATGGGAGGAATAGCGTTGCCTATAGCATTTACAGCTACACAAAGGGTAACTAACGTTCCCCTTTCACCAGAAGTTACCGCCCCGACTTGCTTAGTGCCCTTAGTTGAAACAATTTTACTCGGTTTTTGCACTGTGGTAACCCCCGTCTCATCTACATTGTATATGTTGGCGGCTTCAAAATGATATTTATCCATAACTTTAGATAAATTATCAAAAAATTTTGTAACGTTGACTCTGTTAAAGTTCACGGCCCTAGCGTGACTTGTGGCCTCTGGCACTCTAATTGACAATGTTGGATTTCTGTTCATAAAGTTGGAGAACCAATCTCTAGATCCCATTTTGGTAACGTGCCATTGCTCGGGAACTGTAACAGATTTCCTAATGGCAAATTCGTATACAAGAGAACGAACATCAGTTGGCGTAAGTCCAAAATATAAGTCAGAAGAATTCCGTATGTAATCACAAAATATATGTTCGTCTTCTGGAGATAGTATCCTATTATGTGAATTGTAACCAACTCTAGGTTGTTCAATACCATTTTTAATTTTCTGTATGTATCGGTGTACAGTTACATGACAGATTTGAAGTTGTCTTGCGGCTTCTCTTACGGAGACGCTTTTTTCCAAGACTAGGGAAGCTGCTTGTTGCAATTGTGTGCTTGCTGGAAGACCCCCTTTCTGTTTTCCTAATCCTGGACCGTGGCATACTCTGCAAGCATGGTTGCTAAGTAACCGATACCAAGCGCCAAAGATGGAAGGGGACAATTGTAACACGTTACAAACGTCCCCCAACTTGTTACAATTGTCCCCAAAATGCATTTTTCTTAAATTATTAATTTAAACCAAGAATCAATTTCAGTGTGAGATTAATAGCGTGTGGAGTGAATGACACAATATCTAACCAACGTGCAGGTAAGATTTGAACGTAATCAAGCAACATTTAGTCACCTAATATACAAAAGGAATGAGTAGGTAATAGTTTACTTACGGTTCACAAATAGGTACACAACACTTCACGCGGTGACGATTGTAACGCAACTAACGGATTCAAACTCCTGTGGCAAATGGCATCCATTGTGACCTTCCAACAGATGCAAGCGCGCGAGTTTGAAATTACTGTGGGCGAAGATATTGCCGCTGTTACAATTGTACCATGTTACAATTGTCCCCGGTCTCCCCTACGGCAGGAGGAGAAGGCTGGTGTTTAGTTTACTCTCGATATTCACCTCTGAAACAATAGAAAATAAATAATAGTAATAGCAATATTTATTTTATATTTAAATTGAACTAATATTGCTAAACGTACCGTCAACACTTGATAGGCAGGTCTGAATGTTCTCTTTAAGGAATTCGTCCTTCGTAGTGGTACATTTCGTGGCGGCCTTCTGAAGAATCTTTGTGCTTACACTCTCCAGTGATTCACGGAGCAAGGCTTCGTCTTTGTCGGGAAAAATCCGTTGATAATCTAACGCTAAGAGTCGATATCCGCTGGGTCCCTTAAGTATGGGAAACTCTTCAATATAATCATGAAGATTCCCAGGATTATGATATAGTTTCGCCAGCCGGGCCCTAGTTGTGCAACCCCAATGGCGTTCCACTTCCTCCCAAGGTGTTGCGCCTTCCACTGCGGTTTGGCAGAAAAGTATTGACTCTTCTACCCTTTCACTCTCGCCTAAAACAATCAGAAAAATATTCACATTATACGATTCGTTTGATGTGTAGGTATCTAGTGGGTATGGCACAGTGATGTGACGTTTTTGAACAGACTGCCAATACACTTATTTTCGACTTCATTTAAAAAATTTTTAATTTTATTTATTACTGGTATGAGGTACAATTTGACATTTGAGTATACACAAAAATAGTCAGCTGTTAAAAAAGCTATCAAGTGACGTCTCTGAATCTTTTGTTGAAACTATATAACGAGAAATTCACAGAGTTTCACCTGCCATGCTTCACTATGGACGATTTCACTACCTTCCATAAAAATCGATTATTTTGACATACTCACATAGAAGTGTACCAGTAATGAATAAATCTAATAAATTTTGAAGTAAAGTCGAAAATAAATATATAAATAAATAAATATCTCAAAAACATCTCTCTCACTCTGCCGAACCCTGTATATATGTATCAAGATTCTTACCCGCACCAAGGGTGGATAAATCAATGGGAGCTTCCTTTCTATTCTCTGTTCCCGAGTTCTCTGAGGTTGTGGAGCTAGAGGTGCCTTTCCGCTTCCGAAAGGGTTCTACTGCCTGCTTGCTAATAAGGTTACGTCTCTGTCTCAAGTAATAATTATACAGACTGCCGGATGGGTTTCTCTTGGGCTTTCCTTGTTGGGCAGAAATGTATGCTGTATAGTACAGCACTGGTGATTCACAGTTAAAAAGCTGTGCAATGCCTCTGGCGAGGGTTTGGAACCGTGCGAATGTAATATGAACTTGGGGATTGCGCTCAAATTCGTGATTAATTAATAATTTTACAATCTCCTTTCTTTGTCGTTGATGGAGAAGGCCAGTTTTGGCAGCCTCGCTGCTTAATATAATACGGCCCTGCAGACTGCTTAGCAGAACGTTCCTTACCTGAATGAAGAAATAAAATAAGTGTATTGCAGGTAACGAGGCCATACAGCAAAAAGACAACAATTAATTAAATCAGCGTTACAACAAAATTGAAATAAAATAGTAAAACCATAATCCCATAATCTGCTTCTGACTTATCTAAGTATACTTGACTAATTGCAATACATACGAAATAAAACTTACATGTGCCGCATCATCTTGTTCCAAGATAGGTGTTGGGGGTGTGGGATGTGTTGGTGGAATCTCGTGTTGAGGCGACAGCAAATTCTGTTCCTCAAGTGAACCTGCTGCAACTTGTTGGAGTGGAGATTCCACAAAGTTATCTCGAATAAAGCTCGAAATATTTGTGAGGAAGGATTGGGGGCTGCCTGGATCCGTACCTGATCCCTCAATACTAATCTTCTCAGTGGAGAGCTACAAACAAAACGACATGCATTAACTTATTCTAATCTACAGATCATGCACCTTGATCAAAAATTACACATTCGTAGGAAATTAGTTTGTATGATAGCGTCGAGTGAGCATTTCTCACACAACGGTGAAAGACATGATACATGTATTGAAATTATTTTAGTTAAATGCAGTTTTCCAATAATAGTATTAATTTTCTAAGGAGCCATCTTACACCCCCTGGTAAACTTACCTCTATGGAAGTTCCCAGAGATTTAAATTTACCAGTAGGTGGGTAGGTACCACGGTGAGTTACCACGGTGATATTCAGCGTGGTAGGTACTTATATACTCGTAAGCACACGACTTACTAGAAAATATGCACAAAATAAATATCTGTCAGATATCAAGTTATGCGATAGTTTCAGTAATATCATTTATCTGCACATATCATCTAGTACCCATAATATAAGTTGATATATTTGTAAAATATAAAATTGGCAATCTTTAGCTCCCTAGGATCGACTGATTAAAAAAAATTGGCTTACTAACCCTGTTTATGTTTGAACACTCATTGTCGGCTTTCCACAACGTTAATTGAGCTAACAGTTTAACTCTGTCCCCTAGTACTGGCACTAGATTTGCGACATCACCTTCTGTCAGTAAGGTCAGTGCTGTGGTATCAATTCGGTTTTCTTAAAAAGCAAATGAGAATAAATCGTTAAATGTGTATTTTTTTAGCTTTAACCAAACTAATTCGGACGATACAGGGTGTTTGGCGCCACCGAAGTATTAAACGTTTTAAGACTATAATAAGGCAATCATCCTAAAAAAATGCACACGTCTGTAAGAGATAACGATCTATTTAACTACAATGTCTTGTAGAACATGCCACTTCCTGTTTACCGGAAGTCGGTCCCAGTTTTGTTATGTTGAATTGAATGCTATTTGAATTTTGATTCTTCAGAAGATTCCTCGTGCAATGGTATTACATGTCCCTATGTCTATTTTATGTTTTTTAGTTATTCCCTTTTTCTATAAAAATTGACCTGAACTCACTAGTATGGAAATACTCGTATTTCCGTTATGCTACCAACTCAAACGAAAACTATTTCAGGAATTAAAGTGGCAGAGTGGAACTATCATTGTTTTTTTCATACTAGTAAGTTCGTCAATTTTTAAAGAAAACATAGAATATCTCAACAGTTGAAAATAAGCATAGGGATATGTAATACCATTAGATGAAGAATATACTCTTATAGAATGAAAAAGTCAAATAAAAAATATAGCCTTCCATTTAGAACAACAAAGTTGACATCGACTTCCTGTATAACCGTCTAATAGGTCAATTGCGGAAAATACCCTGTATACAATCATTGTTCTTACACTTGTTTTAACATTAATTAATAATAACAATAAGATAGACTTTATTAGACTATTATTGTCATATTATGTAGGCCCAAAATGTTAAAGAAATGAAATAATGCACATGAACTGCACAAAATAAATTAAAGAAACAAAAATACCAGCTTTATATTTAGTATACCTTTATATTTAAAATAATAAGAAGGCATACAAATACAATGTGTCCCGTCGATGCACTAAAGAAAGTCTTTATTTTAACTAAGTAATTATAATTTCCAAAAATTATTTACGTAACTGCAGTACCCTCAATTAACCCATTTAATACCGTTGGTGCATTTTCGAACCACGCCCTTTAATTTGTTTATATTAACAATTTTAGCTCTTCTGTTTCTGTTATATCAGTATGTATTATAGTATTCAACAAAATATTTCTAACAAATTTTATTGCTCTTTTGTGATTAGTAGTAATTTACAACATAAAACGTATCATTTTGTCAGTAAAAAAAAATGTAGCCAAACATTTGTTTTCCAATTTTAATTTTAATTGTTATCAAGATCTTTATATGTTACGAGCAATGTGGTTGACCGGTCAATGTTAATAATTAAATATTTTCACATACTTTCATAAGTGGCAATAGTTCCTCCCCCTTAAGCTTCCGGGGCCGTTAAAAAAATTTGCCTTCTCTTAATAATTGACCGGACTAACCCGATTGCCAGTAACATAAATAGGGGATGAAGTGAGTGTCGAGGAAATGTCAGAAGACCATTTATAACCACAACCAAAAACAAAAATTCAATTTTTTTAATTTCATTAGCTTGAGATTAATAGGGTTAATATCTGCAGTACCTAGGTTAAATATCTTTACTACGGGATACATTGTACTATTTGGTAGTCTAGAAAAAGGAATTGCATCATTCAAGTTTTACGTAGGTTAACCATAGGCGCCCACAGGAGGAAGAACATCATTGGATTAATGCTATTATAGGAGACCAAAGCAATCATTGCAGATTTAAAAATAAACTGAATCTTGCAGGCGCCCATGGGTACTGGTGCCATGCAAATATTTATTAACTAATTACAATTCAAATGAAACTTACCTGCAAACACATCAATATATTGGAAGAACCCCCAATTTGTAAGGAGGTTTGTCACAAGTTGATCCATACACACAGTTGTTTTTTACCCTCTTTTAACACTCACTTGACCGACTGAATACAGAGTAAAGACGACTATGCTATGATATTGGCGCAATTTTGAAACGCGAAGGTACAGTGGAGCGTTTTTGAACGCACAAACGCGAAAAATGACACTTCATCAGATGAAAAGATGTATTATAATCGTATGACCTTTCAATATACGATTGTAACACGGTTATTTTCCTTCTGCTGAAAACTAAAAATGTTTAAATGATCTTATATTTGTTGGCGTACTGAAGGCGAAATTGGACGTAAGATACTTTCGCATCTCTATTCCGCAGTA